GATCCATGCAACCTTGTATTTTTTTTTCTCTTCACGGATCGCCGTCCCATTGAACATGACAGCATAGTCTCAATTCAAATACAGAACCGGTGTCTAGTGGAGAAAAATCCCTGAAAAGTGGCTTTCGGCAAGATATTCACGTGTTGACAACGCCCCCTAGCCCCATTTGAGGGAGTATTGGACGATGGACCGCCATTTCACCGGATATTCACATCCAAATGACCAATGAGATGAGTTGTCTAAGAGATTTAACGCCCACATCAAGCTATCTCCAGGAGAAGATGCTGATCTTTAGCCTTGGCCTCTGCTATTTTTATTTTTTTTTTACTTTTTGATACTACTCAAGGTAAAGATCGTTGGAAGAGAAATGACGAAATAACTGGAGACAACTGGAGACATGATCTCAGAGTAGGTTGATCGACAAACCGTTAAAACCGTTTTCTCCCCTAACCTCACAAGTCTGACAAAGCAGAATGGTTTTAACACGCTATCTTTTTTACGGAACAATTTGTGGATAACAGGATAAACAGATGATCATAAAATCCTAACCACAAGGAGATGAGCGACAAGTTACTTTCTCAAGTTGGCAAGAGGCTAAGATCCGATCCCAATTTTAGTGCGCATCGACCGTTGGATATCACTTTTTTTCTCCGAGACAACATACAAAGTCCCTCATCCCTCAGACTAGTGTCATCCATAAAAGGGGTCAGGCTACGGAGGATATCAAGACTATCGCATCTATACTAGTACGGAGTAGCCAATCTAAGATTACAGGTTCATCGGTTCAGCCACGAATCTTCGGGCAAGGTTATCTAACTCAACTGACTCGAAAAGAAGCCAAGACATCTTTCCCCTCTCACCGGGATATTCAAGCAAAAGACAGCACGGTTCACCACCCCCTACACAGTCAAATCTCCGACAACCCAGTTAAACCCAGTTAAACCCAAATCAAACCCAACCCATCCCGAAACTCCAAAGTGTGGCGGGCTCGGGAGATTGTTTAATTCGCCCAGTGGATACTTCGGGAATCTCTCCGATCTTCGGTCTCAAAGAGTAAGTTGACAGCTGCAGGTAGACCAAAAGACCAAAAGACAAAGGAAGAGAAGGAAGGGTCCGAGCCCGTCTAGAAGAGGAGGTGGGGAAAAATAGGTTTTAAGGGGGGGGGGGGGTTTCTCAAAAATTAGGACGAATCTGCAACGGAGGGTATGCACGGCAAAAGGCATCGATGTTGACAGGCCTTGGTTTTGGAACTAGTAAGGGTTATTTCTGTATTGTGCCGGAAGAGGATAAGAGTGACCATTCGGGGAATATCACGGGAATTTATGTGCAAGATGTCTCTTTGTAGATTGGACCGAACTCCTCATCGAAACGTTTCAGATCTACGATATTCCAAAGGAAAAATGTACTAGTTTGGACGGAATTGGTAAGGGTTCTCCGATATATATGATGATGCTACTCCGTACTATTTGTATTATGGTATTGATTTGATCATGGATAGTCCCATTTGAAGCTATGTCGACTCAAAACATCGGTCATTCTATGGAATCGTCTTTTTTTCTTTTTTTTTTTCTTCTTTTCGTTTTCCGAGTATTCGTCACTAGTCTGATTCATTTGGGAAATCTCCCCTGGGCCAGATGAATTCATTTCGCTTGGATACCTTATACACTAGAAGCAATTTTGAAGGGGTAAAATTAAAATGGGGATATCAAGCCGGACCGTTCCCAGACTCCACCAAGCCCATACGATAGACCGCTTCGATCGGCGGGGATTTCGGGCTTGCCTGAGAAGTTCCCTTTTTTTTTTTTTCCTTTTCCAGCCCCTAATCCGGGTTAGTTCAAGTTCTGAGAGATTAACGAGATTACGAGTGGGCTGGCCGTTTTGACTTGCTCCACATGGAAAAAAGGAATCTCTTTGGCCCCACTGATACTGCAGGTTCGGCATCTGCGCAAATCCCGAACCTCGATTTTACAAGTCTCGGATCCTTATGCAAAGTGCATCAATAGTAGCTTCACGACGATCTCTACGGAACATAGACCCGATGTATATCGTGTACACCTTATGCTAAGAGAGCTATCTAGACCCTTTGAAGCTCTAAGCCACTCCATGGGAAGCCGAGAACGAACGGAAATTGGGAGAGATTTGGGAACTCGTGGGAGATTACACTCCATTTACTCCATTTACTCCATTTACTCCATACTCAGCCACGCGAGGAAATGAGGAAAACGGCTTGAATTAATTAAGATCCGTCGGTGGATATAGTGGATAGTGACTATCCCTCCAGGTTTCCATGGCTCCATCTCGTAGACATCACTTCACAGGGTTATGCTCGTTACGCTCGGGTCTTATGATCAGTCTACGATGCCGATGATATACGTACTCCGTACGCGTGCCAGATTGAAAGGAGGAAGGGGAGGGGGGGAGAGGGGTTGCGGGTCGAGACGGCTGAGGAAAAGAAGCTGAATGTGCCTGGAGGTATTTGCCCATGTGGGGGGTGTCCTCATTTCCAGACTCTGATACTTTGTAAGCGCTTTTTTGTGTCCGGGAAGTATCGAAGATATCTATTTTAAGCAGATCGCCATTTCCGATGCCTTTTAGGTCCTGTATATCCCATTCGGGATACCAAACAGAGACTGGTACAAGAAAGAAAGCTCTCGGGGATCTCTCGGGATACATTCTGAAGCATATGTGCCGTGTCTATAATGCCCATTCGACATAGCTGAGTCGAAAGGATTGACCTACGTCGTATTCTTGTGGAGACCATTTCCAGGAACAAAGTACAGAAATACGTTGTACATGCAGTAGTCTATCCTACCGGGAATCCTTTCCGATCTCGAATTTCTGATCGGGTTCGGCCACATCTCGGCTGGGTTTAAACCGTTTCTCTATTGGACAGAATGAGATCATACTTTTTCCCCGTGTCGGAGTATGGGAAGATCATAGGTTTCCATGCTTGGAACATATATTCGATTGGTATGTATATATTTCCGTCTCCGATCTAGTAAATTCAATTTTGGTACGCATAAACGGGGGTTTTTTTTTTGGTATTCCCCATCTAAGCGAAGAAAGTAACCAAAGAACGTGAATCTAGGGTCCTGCACAGATAAGGTGGGTAATGCACAAGACTTTTTGACGTATGCATTAGCCTAACCCATTTTTCATATTAGTCTGTGGACGAATGAGATCTCTCCATTGACCTTGAATAGAGTTTTTTTTACATCTGAGCTATTTCAATGATTGGATTACTTTGAATCTGACAGCTGTCAGGTTGTGAGGATATACCTTTTTTTTCTTTATCACGTTATTTGTCATTTGGGTCTTTTTTTTCTACTTCCAGAAATCCCTAAAAGTACGAACGAAATCTCTCCGCTTTAATCTCTCGGAATATCTATCCACGATGTGTACTTCTTATGTCTTATGGTCAAAAACCGAACTGATTCGCCCTAGCTCTAGCGGAACCGGTTCTTTTATTTTCTTTTTTTTATTTCCCAATTGTCAATCCTATGTTCAATAAAAAAAAAGAGTGGATGAACTAGTGAAAAAAAAAACCCCCCTCCCCGAGAAAAATGCCTTGGAACCGAAGGATCGGCAATCGTCAAATATACCGCTAAAAAAGAAAACACAGGCTGGGTCCCCGCAGATCCATGTCATACCAGTTGAAAGGGGAACTGACGTGAATGGTTCACGCTTACTCTGACAGGTTCTGACAGGGTCTGCACGGTGAATAGTGGGCCAGCATCCACTCTCGATTCCCTATATTCCCTATAAACACCGTAAATGTTCCCCGATACCGAATCATTTTCTCGGTTTTCGATATCTTGAAAGGGGGTCTTTGAGCCAAAGCGTCTGTACCTAATCCCAACGCAGTCAAGGCGCCGAGGATCACGGTAGTCCAGACATTGTACTTCCGCGCTTACTCCAGTTCTCATTTTTAGTCGATCGGGATTTGCACGATATTCCAATAGTCGATCATATCATGACTTCCATACTTCCCAAGTTCTTGCACAAATGCTTTTGTTTCCACCTTTTTCTGTCCTTGGAATTGACAAGGGGGACAGAATATCTATAAAAGACATCTGAAAACATCACCACTGAGAAGACTAAAAAGACCAAAAGACATCACAAAGCTGCGTCTCCTGTCTCTCATATTTTGAAAAAGAAAAAAAAAGCCCCCCGGGGAAACATGGAAATTGTGTGGCAAGATGGCTGATCCACAGAGAAAACGGCAACCATGTGCCACCAAGATCTTGCACCAATCAATTCGGCTGCATTGAGCCAGTGGCCCCTCTGTCCACGATGCCAAATCCCGGGCTTGGCTCCCGGCCTAGTACTAGTTCATATGCACACAGATACAGTACCTTTTCTCGAGTCTTTATAGAGCCAATGATGGAAGCCCTTGGAGCACAGCGGCACAGACACCGATCTCTTTAGGCTGAGTGCAGGCGGTAATGCAATGCAGCTTGCCGTATGGAGTACATTGCAGCGGGATGACTCGTCGTCGGGACTCACTTCCAGGCGATTTTGTGCGAGTACGAAGTACAGACAGACATGATGAGTATCGTATCATATACCGGGAGTCAGTATTTATCGGACCTATCGTGCTGGATGCATGAGGGGACTTTGAGAATAAATCTCATCCATACAGAAGAAAATCATTTGAGCTTGATATTATTTCTTCTTTTGCTGCTTGGCCTAATGTGCGATATTATAGGTATAGATTATTTAATGCATGCTAGTCTCTCTTCATCACATCGGGCTGCTTTCAAAACAGACTACATGGTGTACATGGTATGGTGTACAGCCTTTCTCTATTCTCTCTCTTTCATCTCCAGGGTAAAGTCTTCCCCCTAAACTCCAATGTATAACCGTAGCGTCAGGTGACTATATCTTAGGTGATCCGTGCACAGAGCTTGGCCTTTCCCCACTTAAGCTTCCAGTCCAAAACATAGTAAATATCATTGTCTTTCCTCTCGGACCTATTCTCGCCCACATTTTCCTACATCATGTCTTCCATTCTATCCCTGGCTGATATCCCCACCGTGTCGCTTCTGTACCGCGCGAAGCATCTCCTTCCTGTGTCCTCAAAATTTACCCCATCCCAGTCTCTCAATAGCACCATCTCCATCATCCGCAATGACATCACCAAGCTCCGAGTGGACTGCATTGTGAACGCTGCTAACGAGTCTCTCCTCGGAGGTGGCGGCGTGGATGGTGCAATCCATCGAGCCGCAGGTCCCAAGCTCGTTGAAGAATGCTACCATCTTGAGGGATGTGAGACTGGCGATGCAAAGATCACCTCCGCCTACGAACTACCTTGTAAGCGTGTGATTCACACAGTCGGCCCAATCTACAGACAGGAAGAATATGCCGTCACGCTTCTTCGATCCTGCTACCGACGCAGCCTGGAATTGGCAGTCGAAAACGACATGAAGAGCATCGCCTTTGCCGCTATTAGCACCGGAGTCTACGGCTATCCCAGTCGAAAAGCCGCTGAAGATGCTATCAAAGAAGTGCGAGATTTTCTCGTCGGGCCTGGTATTGGAAAGCTGGAGCGTGTCATTTTCTGCAACTTTGAGCAGAAGGATGTGACCGCTTATGAGGAATTCATTCCGTAAGCTTGTCCTATTCCTCACCACTGTTTGATTAGATCTGACAACGATTATAGGCAGTATTTTCCTCCTACGCAGGAGGACTTGGCTGAGAGCAGCGACGCTTGAATCGCCATGCCAATAATGTTGCGCGCCTCACTCGACAGTGGAGACATGCTGGTACATCCCCTCGACACGATTCACGACCGCCATCCCATGATTTCAATGAAGCGTAATCTTCCCTCCTCTGTACTATTTTGCTTAGAAGCGAATCTTGATCAAAAATGCCATTCTAAGTCTTTTAATGTTTCCTTCTCTGTACTGGTAGGAGATAAGGTGAAGATGAGACATCGACCATTTCGTATCCATACTTGCCGGTAGAGCTGCGACATCACTAACTATATTTATCGTCGAGGTAGATCTGTAAGCAGCTTCTTTTCTTTTTTGCACTGTGGTCTACAAAGACAATTGTCTCGGCGTCAGCCCACTCCCTGGGTGAACTGGTAAAGCGGGTGCAAACAATGCAAACACCGTATCAGATCGCATCTGATCGTTATTCCAGCTTGAGACCACTTCAACTCCAATTGCAAGGGCAATTCCCTCTCGATAATCAGAGCTGCATAATGAGACTCGCCTCACTGAGCTGAACATCCCATCTCCAACACAGTCAATCCCCCGCAGACCCCCCCCAGACCCTCCGACCTCCGCCTCCAACTCCAAAAATGGTGAAACCACAACGGCCAAGAGGGATCCCAACCCCGACCCCCAACTCGCGGTTCCGAGTCCAAATCCGCGAAGAGCCAAAGCCCAAAGTCATAGAACCCTTCATCAACGAGGGTCCCGCCCTCTCCAAACAAAGACGAACACCTGCCTTCATCTCACATTTCCTCACAAACATCCGCCAACGCATCTCCACCCTCCCATACCCAGTTCGACGAGCATATCGCACTCTCCGCTGGACAGTACCAATTCTCCCGATCGCACTATTCTTCCCAGAACACGTAATGCAAGTGATGTGGGTTCGCGGACCGTCAATGACACCCTACCTGAACGAGGATTATGCGACAACGCAAACGAAGAGCGACATAGTGATGGTCAACATGTGGCCGTGGGGGTCTATAATGCCGTTCAAAAAAGATCGGAAGCTGGAACGAGGGATGATTGTTACTTTCCGGTGGGTTTTTCCTATGCTTTTTGTTTTCTTATACCTTGGTTCTTTTCATGGAGACTACGGCAGCAATCAATACTAACAATACACATACAGATCCCCTGCAAACCCATCTCATATAGCGATTAAGCGCGTTATCGGTTTACCCGGTGATCGGATCACGACCCGCGAGCCATGTCTGCGACAAACGCAGATCGTCCCCTGGAATCATGTCTGGTTGGAGGGTGATGCGGAGGATCCGCGGAAGACGCTCGATAGTAATACGTATGGCCCTGTTAGTCTCAGTTTAATTACTGGGCAGGTATTTGCGGTGTTGGGACCGCGGATGCGATGGCTGAAGTGGACGGATTGGGAATCTGGCAAGGAGTCTGTGTCGACGGATGTTGCGGCTGTTAATTCTTATGGAAAGAGTGTGCGGGATCGTGTTTTGAAGAATGCTGTTAAGCTCGAACAGCCCTTATTGAACTGATTAGCTGGTTGTAGATGGGGCCTGGTGCATATCCTGTCCTTTGTATTTGTTGATAGAGCTGAATTCTCCTGTGTCTGATGATGTTGTGGACTGGGACTTGCACATATATTAGGAGCATCTTTGGATATCATTGTATTACTATTTTTGGTTAAAAAAAAATGCTGTGCTATGTGTATGCGAGTAGAAGGAAGATGTCCCCGAGAAGGATTTTGAGAAAGATGAAAGCAAAGTGGTATATACCGGTAGAAGAGAAAGCACGAATGGCCGAGAAAGGCAGATAACACAGGCAATGCAATCAGTAATTATAGAGAAACAAGCCGTATATCTTCATGTTTCTCTTCCTGGAGACGGTCTATTTCCGAGGAAATGCTCATCACCCAACGGTCCTTTTCCACACGACTACGTGCTTTGAACACGATGGTGCGGCCATGCTTTCCTAGCGTAGACACATGACGCAAGGATCGTTTGGCTTTGCCTTGCTCCCCTATTTCCTGGGCTCGGAAGTAGCTTTTACTCAAGGGTTGCCAGATCACAAAGGTGATAGCGGTGTCCTCGTCGCGACTTGTGAAGGCATTTGAATCGAGGTACACCCGTGGCAGAGCATGAAGGCCAGGGTTATTACTGTCAAATGTCTGATTGGCATAGAGCAAATCGTTCTCGGTAATCAAACCAGAATAAATATAGCAGTCTTCCAGCCCGATGGTCGCTTCAAGTTCTTGGTGAATGTGTGGAATCTCGGTGCCGGTTCGACTGCGCAGCGTGCTTCGGAAAATTAACAGCTTGCCTGCTGTGAGGATGACATGGCATTGGTAAAAAGTAGTGTGGCGACGGGGCTTCCGAAAGAGGTGGCCGGACATCTGTCCATGTTGTCAGTAACTTGTGCTTGTATTTGTCTGATCTTATTCTGGATTTACCTTGATAATCCGACAACCAGACAGCGAGCACATGTTGTGTAAGTATGGAGATGCCTCGGCTTTCTTCACTTCCCACTTTTTTGCGAACTGCCCAATAACGGATTCCATAGCTTCGTCGATGTCCAACAGCTTGAGATTGCGCTTCCGTACGGCCTGCAGTTCCGCGGCATCATCTGCGCAGCGAGTCTGCCAATACTTCACAAGCGCATCGAGTCGTTTGATCCACTCATCCCGTGTAGCATCATCATATGCCTGGAGTCGAATAACAAGACCATTATCGAGAACCATTTCAAATGTCCTATCGTCATCAAACTCTCGCGTTGCTCCGTCATCCTGTCGTGAGTCTCTAGGTTCAGGGTGGAAGTCTACAGATGGCCCTTCCCCGATGTCGGGGTCGGCAGGGCAGCTGCCACGATAGACATGGCGCACTTCTTGCACCCGACACATATCGATACATCCATCTGCCTGGCTGATATTGTGTATATTCCTCTGCACGTGTGCATAAGCCTCTTCATCATGCCGTTTCACAAATTCCTGATTGCCGCTGGAGAGCCATGCAATCTCGCCATTTTCAAGCGGATAAGGATCAATATTCCAGGAGAGCGGCATTTGATCCAAGATTTCACGGGCAGTTGGTATACTTCCGTCTTCTGGGGGAGCGCATTTCGGCGGTTGTGGGGGGAATGCCTTGGCTGGCCGACAGAAAAACAAATAATGATCTTGAGTAAAGAAGTACAACCGTTTGAAGAACATCTTGTTCATCCGCTGATGCACACCCTTCTGGGATGTGAGACGGACTAGAAATCCTTCGATCGGGGCAGGCTCCTCCTGTATGCCCCGATGCCTAATTCTGGTAGCATAATGATGCCTTGGTCGTAACTCAAGTTCGTGAGATGATTGCATCGCCATAGCCCCATGCATCTTTTCCTCGTTTACTCCAAAAATCCATTCAAGTCGATCGTACCGCTTCCAAGCAAGTCCCATCTTCTCGGTCTTGGACCAAGCTTTCAAGACCTCGGCCCACTCGGCACGGCCTTCGAGCATATCCATGCATCCTCGGATGATAGTAGCGGCAGCGTATTTGTTATCGACTGCTGCTGCTGCATTATCTTCTTTCAGTTCTGTCTCGAGCTGGTCGAAAGGATTTTTGAAAATGAGGGAAATCCCCAGATCAGGGACGTGAATAGGGAGCGAGGTGGGACGCCGCCATCCAAGCACCTGGCGAATGAAAGTGTACCATTCAGCAGAATGCGCCGCGGACTTTGGACGAAGAATGAATATTTTGGTTCCACGCTTGCAAGGACGCCAAATAACGATGGTCTTGTCGAGGTGGGAATAGAGATTAACATGGGTATCTTTGTGATTGAGCCGTACTTCGTAATAAGGAGGCGTTTTGTTATTCGGTCGTTGCACATCAGGAATTACACGAGTGCGGTACATCTGGATGGCAAATGGTGTGTGTTCTGCAGAGATTTTGCGGCATACCACGAGAAACTCTCTCCATTTGTCCATCGTCCTTGTTTCCATACGCAGGCTGTCATTCTCGGTGTAGTCGGCGGGAAGTGTGGTCTGCAGAGTCTCTTCCACACAGACCAGCATTTTCTCTACTTTGACAATCTCTCCATCTTGCACTTTGCGTCGGTGCGGTCGATTGGCAGAGATAATACCTTGGGTCTTTGCGATCTTGGAGCGCACCTTTTGCTTCCTGTGCCTGAGGTTGTCATCTAGGTTGAATTTCGCTATCTTCCTAGTGACTCTCCGTTGGATTTGCGCATCTTCGCCGGCATCATCTTCATCTTGTGGGTCGTGGTGTTGAAGTGTTGCTCGAGACACGCCAGATGCCTTGCTTTTCTGCTTCCCTTTATCCTTGTACTCGCGTCGAAGCAACTGTGTTGCTGAATCGGCCTCGCTTGGAACCGTGGATGGATTGGGGGTCAGAGGGTTGGGAGAATAATGACCGGTCAAAACCGTGTTGTGTGAGCCCGGGGACTTTGGCCGCAGCCCAGGCTCCACTTCGCTAGCTCGTATGGTGGCTATTGATTGTCCCGTGTCTGCAGAGCTGGCGGCCTCTTCTCTGGCGGTGACAAACGAAGACGAAGCAACATCATTGCCGTATATGTCGATTTTCCCACTTGTTCTGGCCTTGGGGGTGCTGTCTGTATCCTCTCCACTGTTCTCTCCACCATCATCTCTGCTATATTCTTCGTGATCTCCCCCTCTATGTTCTCTGGTCTCTGTATCCTCTTCCAGTAAAGGATCGTCACCGCTGGCCTCAGCTTCAGGGTGGGTTAGGGTCTGGAGTTCCCCCGTAGGTTCTGCTGCAGCTTCTTCTTGTGTCTCTGTTTCCGCCTCATCATCTTGCGCCTCGACAGCCTCCGTGCTTGTGTTGGTAAGTGCCAGGGCGGCCTCCTCATCCAAATCGGGTAACAACGGGCCGGACCGATCACCCTGTTCGCCGTAATGGGTCGCAACGGGGCCTGCAGAGAACGAGACGGTCTGGGATGTATAGTTTCTGACTCTCAATCGAGATTTATACCAGGACTTGCGATGACCTTGCAGCCAGCCATGTGGGATTGGACCGACGAAAAATCGCCGGTTCGTCATATGCAAATGGTTGGCAGAAGCATGACGCTGTTAAGGAATATCAGGTCAGTTTTATAACCCAGCTCCCAAGAGACAGAGACATACCAGCTGCTGATCTGTGTATGAGCCAGTCTGCAAGCCATGATAATGTTCATGATTCGAGCGTGGGTCCGTTTCTGGTCGCGACCCATTAGCATCATGTGGAGAACTCATGACAATGTATGTAGTACCCTCGTGGACCAAAAGGGCATGCTCCTACAGAGGCAAGCAGATGGCCCAGGTACGAACTTGCACGAACTCCAAATAAAGTTCATCGCCAATCTCGATGTAACATGATCCGATGACGTCGCTGCAAGCTCCATGCAAATGATGCAAATATTACAAACAAATATTGACACTTCACCGTGTTGGCACTGTTTACACTGTTTGCATTATTAGTGTATCCCGTGTGCCCCGCCATTGGCTTGCGTGGCAGCAGCGGTGAAGTTGACAATATCCAACGGTCTCCCCATTAAGCTCATTAAGCTCATTTCTCCTTCTCCCACTGTCTATTTTCTTACTTCAATTCTTCTACAAAAATGGCTGCTATCCCCGCTGACGGAACATGGTTTGATACCATCAACAAGTCCTTCGCCGATGTCCCTATCGGTGCGGAGGATGGCATCTCGACCACCGACTTCCTCGAGGCCGCTGAGTCTCTGGTGACTCTCTTTGGTGCGTGTTGTTGCCCTGCATAGAGCTACCTCAAACTAATGCAGGAACTATCTAGATGTCCTCGGTTCTGCCGCTTTCACCCCGGTCAAGAATGACTTGCTCGGCAACATCAAGGTCCGTTCCACCTAATTCTGTGACCGGTGTCAATACATTCTAAACCCCTCCAGAAAGTCCGTGAGCGCCAACAGGCAGCTCCTGCGGAGTCTGAGACCCTGCAGGCCCTTGTCCTGAACGAATTGAAGACCGGCAAGCACGTCGCCACTGAAGGTCTGGTCTGGCTGGTCCGGTATGTTCACATGGCTCCATCATGACGGAAGAGACAAATTGCAATGACATCTCTTCCATCTGCAACACATGTGTATGAACAGTTGACTAATTGTTGTTCTTCCCAACAGAGGCCTCGACTTCACCGTCCAAGCCCTCCGTCACAACATCGACAACTCCTCCTCGGAACTCGCCGATTCCTTCCGTGGTGCCTACGGCAACACCCTCAAGCCCCACCACTCCTTCTTCGTCAAGCCCATCTTCAGCGCTGCCATGTCTGCCACTCCATACCGCAAGGACTTCTACGCGAAGTTGGGTCAGGATCAGGCCAAGGTTACCGCCGAGATGGCTAAGGAGGTCGCTGCTTTGGAGAAGGTCATCGCCATCCTAAAAACTTTCCAGGCTACCAAGGCTGCTCAGTGGAAGTAAGTTTGCCCTGGAGGCCTTACTTGATTAAACATGCGCGTGCAACTTGATATGTAAATATTTGATCTGTCTTCAAGCATGCGAGTTTGTATTATGTAGCGAATTCACAAACGTTTTGGTCAAGGAATTTGGGGGGTGTATTTGGGGTAGAGATCTTGTTGTACCCTTGGAGATGGGATGTCACGTGGGAGCTGGGCTCGGTTAAGAGATAGGAAGCACGGCGGAGTAAATGAAGTCCTCGTATTCGATTCCCATGTGTAAAAGCAGGTACACCCGCGGCCTCGGGGAACCTAGACCTGGCATAGATCAGCCTCTCAGCCCCAGATGTTCCCCGAAAGTAAGACTTCGGAGGTCGGTATTTTGCCCTTACGGAATACGGAGTAATTTGACTTTGATCTGCTAGACCCTTCCAAATACCGAGGGACCCATCTCATATCCATGGTAGAGGGATATAGGGTCTCGGGGGCCCAAGACCTGAGAATATGAGAGACTATATACCTCATTTTGGAGGGAGCACTCTATATAAGTTGATCTTGTATACGGAGTAGTGAAATAGTATGTTGTACATACAGAGAGTACTATAGATTAACACAATAGGGTTATTTTGACCGATAGACACCCGTCGCAGAATTATTAGGTAATTTCCGACCCGTCCACGGGGGTCCATGGGTGGTTAACCGTAGAATGCAGATCGCTATGCCGCGGAGGTCTCCGCCGATTGCTTCCTCTCACATCTACCTCCTTAAGAGCCTCGACCCGGTTTGCATATCAGATCTCGATATCCAAACGAATCCTTCGAGATATAGCAAGTATCATATCAAATATTACCAATATCTTCCGTGGCAATGATTATTCAAGACAATAATCGCCCGCACTAGTCGCAACTGAGAATTGGCCGCAACAGGGTTTGGGATAGACAGGAGTTCTTCCCCTGACAACCTTGGTTGCAGTTGAATGGAAATGGAAATTTCCAAGCGGATTGTCCATAACAGCTGCCCGTTCTAGAGTAGTGCCGGCACTATCATCACGGTAGCATCGTGGTTGTACACACGGACTTCAATCTTTTCAAGCCATCGACTCCACTGATTAGATTTGATTCGCGGGAATCAGTGGAATTGGTTATTTGGCTGGACCCGTGTCATAGAGAACAGGGGCCTGTGCGTGCTTCGGGTGTACCTTTACAAAGTACCCAAAGCAATGAGAGGCTTGAGCGGTGGCATCTGAAACTCTGCAAAGTAAGCGAGGTAAGCCCTGCAGGGTTTCCACATGGAAATATCAGAAGGTTTGGATGTCGTTTATGCAGAAGAATGGAACATTCGAAGCGATAGTTAATATTAGAAAAAATAAAAATCCATTCCCCCACATGTGAAACAGTCCAAAGTTAGAAAGTTGCCCTAATTCTGCCACAGAGCCCATTGTTGAAGGCGGCTAACCCCATTTTAACAAGCGTTTGTACTGGCTTGTTGGTTCGGGATCATTAGAGCCATTTGATGGCGTCTGACTACTTCCTTTTTGCCTATTTTGCCCTTTTAGGCCTTTTTATTTTATTTTACCAAAGCAAAACACGGAGAACAACACCACAATAATCCCCTCTCTTGGCAAGTTCTCGCCATCGGTGGCTCCTGATCGTAATGCTTGATCTGCAGTAGTGCCTTTTTTTTACTTATTGTAACGTTTCTCTCCCTTTAATTCCTTTAATCTATTTTACTCTTGTTGCTCCTCCGGATATTGTATACTTTCTAGAAAACTATACAGGTCATGACTTGGTGACCGTATATTCATTCTTCGGGTTAATATGTTGCCCCTCGAAGGTCGCAGCCAGTCGATCTTCATCGTTACTACTATCTTTCTTGGGATTTCTTTTATTGCCGTATGTCTACGATGCCTCGTGCGGATTCGACTTGTCAAGGCCTTTGGCTGGGATGATACCCTTATGGTATGCGCAATGGTATGTATAGGTTTTATGCAGAATCAAGGTCAGGACTGATTGATTGGCAGTTGATGAACATCCTATTCGCTCTATGCGGTATCACTGGCGCATTGTATGGAATCGGACAAAAACTTGAGACGCTCATCGAGAGGGGTACGATGGAAACCGCCATGTTTGTACGTTGACCTTCGATTCCCTTTACGAGATGAGAATCACATGCTAACAATCCCCAAAGTGGTGGTGGCTCGGTCAAACTAGCTATGTCTGGACGTGCGCGCTGGCCAAGCTCTCCATCGCATCTGCCCTCCTCCGGTTGACGGTTTCCAAGGCCCACAGGCTCATATTATGGAGTGTCATTGGCGTCACTTGTATTGTTGGTCTTGTCTTCTGGTTCATGTTGACACTGCAATGCCAACCGGTTGAGTTCTTCTGGCAACGAGTTCGCGCTTATACGAACCCGAAGTCCGACATTTCCGGCACCTGCATGAAGCTCGACGATATCATTGCCATAGCCTATGTCTACAGTATCACTGCTACACTCTGTGATCTCACCCTGGGTCTTTTGCCTATTGCCCTAGTGTGGAAGTTGCAGATGAACCTAAGGACCAAGGCTGCCTTGGCAGGCATTCTAGGAATGGGATGCATGTACGTCTACCCTGTTGATGCCCTTGGAATTGGACTGAATACTGACCCATTGGGATATAGTGCAAGCGCAGCAGTCATCATTCGCATTCCCTTCTTGCACGACTACAAGGACATCGACTTCCTATGTGAGTTTCTATCCACTCGATACAATCAGTAACAACTCTAACACCAACAGACGCAACCGCCAACATCTCAATCTGGTCCAACGTCGAAGCCGGTCTCGGAATCGCCGCAGGCAGTCTGGTCACCCTCCGACCCTTATTCCGCTGGTTCCGCGACCCCAGCTCGATAGGTGGAAGCAAGAGCAAAACAAAACGCACGGGGGGCAGCATGCCCCTCTCAAGCATGAACGGAGTACACTCCAGCACTTCCAACCCACAATACTGGCGACCAGACCTACACCGGGAAGATCAGCCTACGGTGATTACGACGATCCACACCTCGAATGAATCTGACACTAGCCGGACGAGTAGCCAAGAAGATCTGAATCCGACAAACGGCGGCACATTCTTCCAGGGGGTGAATGTGCAAAAAACGTTTTATGTTTCGGAGGATCAGACATCGTAAGTGGGTAGCTAGATATGTAATAGATCTAGACTTTAATATTTTCTTTCTATGGAGTAAGTGCAAATACTACCCTACACTGCCCCGCACCGGCTCCCGGGCCCCCTGGGTTTCTCACCCTAGCACACCAGACCCACAGGGCTGCGCTACACGGTAGTGTAGCCGACGGAAGGCCGAAATACCCCTTATCACTGCAGATGCCAGCTGAAACGAGCTGAAGACTTTAGTCTGTTTTCATTATCGTATAGAGCTCATTGGTGACAGTTGTCACATCCTTGGCATATATCTCGTTCTCCATTTAGATGTATCTGGCGAGGTGCAGCACAGTCTCTTATAGTTCACGAATCCATTTATGATATTAAACTCCTTGACACCTACGACACTAGGCAAAAATTAGCCGCAACCCACCTTATCTCTACAACGCTACTACTTTTCATTATGGTATATCCATGTGGCTGTAATTGCTTGTTCAGAGGATGGTTACGCTGTAATAAACTAGAAGACCACGTAGTTACATAGTCGATTTGGTGTTGTCAATAAAAGCCAATACCAAACATAAGATAAGAACATAACCTCTCTAGGCCAGAAACAGGAACCTTGGCTTCTGCGATGATCTAGTGATCAACACGCTCCAGAATCTCACACTTCCCATGACCCACCAGGATTCGGAGACTTCGAGAGAATTGTCTGGTTGTAGGTGCTCAGAACCCCATAATGGCAGCCCAGGCCTTGTCTATCGCGAGGTGGCTGCGCTATTTCACGCCTGGGCTCGTCCATGTGTCTAGCGAGTTTCATGTGTGTTTCTGAATGTCGTGTCCTGGTAGCCAAGGTACCTTTCGTTCACCCACGGGTTTAATAAACGCCCTTAGATGCCATGTTCACGATCCACACGTACCCCGTCAGCTTCAACGGCCTTGTTCCAGGTTACGTTGGGCTTGGCAACGGACTTCTCCTATATTGTAGTGGGAAATAGAAGGGAGTGAATGAGCAGTTGGGTTGTAACAGGTGACCAAGGAAGAGACCATAACTAATGTGATGGGTGTGACACCATAAAGATGGTAGGGGCAGGATCTTCGACTTTGTCGCAGCGGATATCACGTTTGAGTCTTCGCTCATTGTTGATCCACCGTTGACAGTATCTTGTGGCACAGCCAAGCAACAAAGGCTTCATCTGCTAGCTGGCCATGATTTCACTGGTAGGCTGGTGTGTCGATCAGACTGCTCCCAGCTTTTAGCCATCTCCCAGTTGTTGATATCGCGTGCTCGCTCGATTCCTTAACGCTCGGTAGTAGCGATATTGCCATCATTGTCGGTGTCTGCAACGTCTTCAAATTAGTCAGACACCGCTTCCGCTTCATCTCTAGGCCGTTCTCGGGTTGAAAGTCCTCCTAGTCGAGATCAGACATAGGATCACACGAGGGTCAATGCCTCCTTTTTCCTTCCTTGCCATCGGGAAAAGTCGGTGAAACTCAATTTTCATTGATTTCTTATCATCATTCTCGCAAATCCAATTTGTTGGCATGAGAAAGCTGCAGCAAAGCTGTTTTCAGAGAGTTCCATGTTGAATCCCGGGTCCGATTGGCGCTGTCTGGCAGCCAGTTCAATCTGTGAAATCGCTTGGCTAATCCCCAGCAGGTCAATCCAGCCTGGAGATAATCAGCTCATCGTGATCGGTAGTGATTGGACCGAGAATTTTAAGAAACACCTACGTGACTTTGGTGGCATCATCATAGATGAGCTTCCTCGGGGGTTGAGTCCAGGTATCGAACCACCCCATGCTAGGCTTTCTCTTATTCATGTTAGTATAGGTGGCTCTGGATAAATGGGGGTCGTTGATAATCCCACCTGCAGTCGATACCAAAATACCGACGGACCTCCCTATACGCGAGGTCGCTTTCCCAGGCAACCTTAGGGTCAAGTGGCTCGCCAAGCACATGGCTGAGATAGTCGCCCGGAGCATAGCCCTCGGTGCAAATAATTTCACACAGAAGTTGTCCGCGGTTCTTATGGGGGGGGGGGGGGGGGGAGAGAGAGACAGAGGAAGGAAGTAATCACGAGGTAAATGCGTAAATATATTTTCCTTGTTTCCCTAACACAACACCACAACACCTACACAAACTACAATGTTGTATTCAGTAACAGTAACTACAGTATATGAACGCTAAACCCACATGCAAATATGCTTTGAGGCTATATGCGCCAAGAGCGCCATCATGCAGGTCCATATTGTGTATGCACATGAAAGTACTAAAATGGTTCTCCTTCATTAAACACTTTGTGACAGCTCTCTTCAACAGCCCAGCCGGGCTAGCTCAATCGGTAGAGCGTAAGACTCTTAATCTTAAGGCTGCGGGTTCGACCCCCGCGTTCGGCTATTCCTAAAAACCAAACCTGAGATTTCTTTTTTTGCCTTTTTTATTTTTTTACTATTTCAAATAGTAATATTATAGACGTGGAATTGAGGGAAATACGAAACGACAATTCACCAAGTCAAGAACAATACTTTTGTTCCTTGGCCCCTGAAAACACACAAACTCATCTCCAGGGCCCAAGCATTGGTTACGGTTTGTTGGACCTCTACCTGTCTTTACCACTTTGTGGTCTTTGTTTCTTTGTCTCTCCATCAAGCTACATAAATGGTTCCATGGCAGTCGTAGTTACCTTTGTCATTGACATGACATGCTGATCTATCCTCGCTCATTCTCCGCGTAGATCGTAGATCTTATGTGCATCACCTCAATTACCTCTCTCGTTTTTCTTCTCTATTTCGCTAACTCGGTCCTACTCCAGCGCCATGTCGATACTGATTCCTCTTCGGTCTTCACTATGGCTGGGTTTCAAGCCTTTGCCAAAGCTGCAAGGGATAGAGTACTTGCTTTTGTGCGTAGGTGTCTATGGGTGTGTGAACATGTGTTATACTTTGTGGGAACTGTTTTCTACACTGTCATTTTGGAAATATCCACAGCTCCTGCTCGTGAGCCTTTGAGTCGAGCAGGATTCTCCAACACAGATATATATACAATCTCTATAGTGGATAGATAAGCAATTTCAAACCCATCTCAAATACGAAAAAAATGGACATATATATATATATATATATATAGTAAAGCCATTGATTACATATATCCTAAAAAGAACCAACACCAACACCCGATGCTATGCACATATCATCGTAAAGCAATTGCTCGAACGCCAGCCATAGTATCAAGTTCGAAAGAAAGGCGTAAACATAGACGAGTGGGTGACCAAAATACGCAGGAAGTTGTGCACGCAGCGCGTGCAAACGAAGACAAATATTCCTATCCCAACAACTAAAACTCAGGTCAAGAACTTGGCTGCAAATTCCCCGTGTAAACGCCTTCGAAATCGAGTCCCGCGAGCATGCCACTGACGCGATCGATCTCACGGCTTAGATCCTCGACGTTCATCGCTAGGCTGCTCACTTCATCGAATTTGCGACGACGGTTGGCATCGGCGATCATCTCGGACACAAAGAACTTCTGCTCTTCTAGCACGATCAGCCGGTCTCGAAGGGACTTTTCTTCTGCTTCCAGGGCCGAGACGGCACTGCTAGTGTCGCTGGCTAGGCTGGTGGTACTACCGCTAGTGGCAACGCTGCTGTACTTGATAGATGCAAGAGCAGGCTCCGGAGGCCGGAGACTTGTCGTGGAGCCATTGACCGGAGTACTCGGGGAGCTTGTCCGGCTGGATACACGGCTGGGTATCATCTCCGACCTGGGGGTTGTATGCTTGAGGATTTTGGGAAGGGATTTCAAAGGTAACATGTGGAGGTGAAGGAAATTGCTGGCCTGCTGATATATAGCCTTTTGCAGCTTTTGTTGTGTTGGGGACTGGGTCGACATGTCACGGATACGTCGAGCTGCAATATCATACTGCGCAAAAGAATCAATGAGTCGCTTGCGCACCTTGGATGCGTCTGCGATCTGGGCCGATGATGGAGGTCGCCTTGGATCCCTAAAACAATACTGTTAGCGACGGAGTGGGAACACCGCAAACAAGAAACATACTGTAAAGCTGCCAGAAGTTTTTGAAATCTAGGCAAATGAAGGCGGATGCCTCTCTCAAACTGGATCAAGTTTTCATAAGCCCTAATCTCCGGTGGCTTTCGCGTCATGTCTGCTTTAAAGTCACGCCGATCAAACAGCGTCGCTTTACATTCCTTGCACAGCCTCACATCGATGTTGACAAGGTTATCGCCATTGGTTTTCTCAGAGGTGGCTGCCGAGACGGTTAGAAATTTCAAGTCAAAGAGATATCATTTCGGAACTTACCAGGAGAAATGCTCAACGCAACCTCACTAGAGCACTCGGTACTAGGATCACCGCAGACGACTTTCCCGCAAGTTCTGCAGTGGTGCCTGCGAAATGTATAGCCCGAAAAGTCCTGCTGGCAAAACGGACATCGTGACACACTGGCATCATCTTGCCAGCTGACAATTGTTTGCTCTATTTCCTTACGTTGATCATTCTGCCACGCGAGAGACCAAAGTTTGGTCGCACTGGGGTGTATTTGATCTGGTGGCAGACTAGCCAACATCTGAGTGAGACGGGTCAATCGTTTCTCAAGTCGGGAAATCTCCAAGAATTCCTTATCGACAGTCTGTTTTCTTACTGCCTTGAATGCCTCCATCCGATTTCTCGTGGTTCCTGTTGCTTGTTTAGCCTTGTTCACAACCGGAAAGTCGATATTCTCACCATTATTATCATTGTACCCCTCTCTTGACTTGTAGCAGGTTTCGCATACTCGAGCCCATATTCCTCGCACCGGCTCATGATGTGCCGCCCGCGAGAGCTTCATTTGGTACATCGTGTGTTCTTCGCAAAACAGTTTCCCGCAACTCCGACAGTTCACGCAGCCGTTGGTGGCATTCAATCGTTTCCCACATGATGGCTCTAGGCACTCGTCGTATATACAACTTTGTTGCCAGTGTTCTTTCGTAATGAGATCCTCGGGGTCTAGTAGTCTCGGAGGTTCGGGAATGC